TGATGAGGATGATGATGATGATGATGATGATGATGATGATGATGATGATGATGATGATGATGATGATGATGATGATGATGATGATGATGATGATGATAATGATGATGATGATGATGATGATGATGATGATGATGATAATGATGATGATGATGATGATGATGATGATGATGATGATGTGTTTTAAGCTTCCATCTAGATCATCAAGGAGGTGTGCTTCTGACCCTGCTTGTCAGAGCCAACTCCTGAGAGGAATACAGAATCTTAGCAATTAGCATAAAGACCGAGATACTCGATTTTTAAAAATCCCACTTTGGAACCGATCTTGAGTCTCGTGGGTCTGACATTGAAGAGCCTAACCGCAACACAACAGACGCTAATGTAAGTGGATTGACATGTTCAAATTTCAGCATCCACATTCCTGTAATCTGATAAATTATAAAATATCGCATGCACTTAAAAGAATTCATCCTTCTACCTTTTCGGATTTTTGCTCCCTCAAATTAAAACATCAATGAAAGATACATGTCATTGTACGAGTACAATTTACAAGCACCATGTTTCGGCAGTGTAAGAAATAAAGATACAAAAGGTCATTTTAACCATGACCCATTTCAATCCCACCATCATTTATCTAGCAAATTAAGTTTTTGTTTATGAAATTTTAACAAATCAACATTTTCCTCGCTCGTTGGGCAATTTTTATAATTAATACAAAAATTTGACCTGTTATGTCCATTTAAAAGCACACTTCTGAGTGGGTTTAGGGAAAAACGTTGATCAAAACCACAAAAGATGTAAATATGCAGTTACTTATACCTATACCCTAGGACACTGAAGCTTTGGGAGTCGGCACACTTTTGGCAACTATTCTGTCACTATTTTACGTAATTTACCTGAGGACCACGACCTCCTTCAATCGTGAATATCTCGGATACATAATATTTTGTTTTCTATAATATCATTTTGAAAATGAAGGGCTCAATTCAGAAAAAAATAGGTTTATCGCAAACTGAAATTCGCGAGGGTATCAATTTTAAGAGTTTGTAGACATATAACTGTGTTTCTGTTCAACTGTTAGTTGATTGCTATATGGTTGATTTTCCATTAAATGACAATAAACCACGAGTCAAACAGAAAAGAAGTGGCAAGTCTGCAAGCTTTAAAAACTGATACGCGTACAAATTCGATTTTGTGATAACACATGGACCCTTTGAGATAGACTTTACTCTACGTTTTCCTTCCTCTGGTATCCTTAGGATGTCGAGGGGTGGAGACAGACAATGTGCGTAATATACAGATGGGCGGTCTGAGTTCTCCTTGAAGGAAGTTTTGCATAGTGCTCCCTTGTAAGTCTGTTAGTTGCATTTGCGATCAGTCGATAGAAGAATCGAACGGAATATCTTGTGCCGAACATTGGCTGACGCTCCGTCCTCACTCTTGTCTGTTCTGCTACAAGGTAGATAGTGGTTTTACACATCCTTTTGAGGCACCTTGGAAATCGCACATAGTACGTATAAAATAATAATGATAATAATAATAATAACA